TGGCGCAGATGTCCCAACTCGAAAAGCTCTCGCTCGATCACGCCACTTGGGTCACCGATGAAGGGATTGCCCAACTGGCCGAGCTGAAACAGTTGAAAGTCTTTAACACAAATAGTGTGCAGCTCACCGACCAGGTCCTTAAAACCATCGGAGGTTGGCCGCAGTTGGAAGAGCTTTCGATTGGTCTAACGCCGGAGTCTTCGGATTCGTTGGATACGAACCTGAGGCATCTTGCGAAACTGAAGCAGTTGAAGAAACTGACACTCTTTCGCGCGCAACTTACCGATCATTCGCTGGAAATGATTGTGAAACTACAAGAGCTTGAATCGCTGACGCTTTCTGACAACGAACTTACCGACGCCGGCCTGGCCACGCTCAAGCAGCTTCCTAAACTGAAGAACCTCGGCTTGTGCGGTAACTTCGTGACTACCGAAGGACTCCAACAGTTGGAAACCTTCCCGGCACTCGAAACCGTGGTCATCAGTGAAGATGTTAAGCCGCCGAAAGATATCTCCAAGACGCTTCAGTTCGTCAGCGGACCTCCTCGCCAAGTGCCGACACAGCCAACAGGCGATAAAGATAGAAGTCCCAAACGTTGGATAGCTTCTCCGAAAAAGAGAGACTCAAGCGATGAGTAGCGATGTGCAACCCAATGCGAAATTACGTCGCCGTTGGCTTACGTTAAGCCTGCGTGGGCTGATGATCTTGGTGCTGTTGCTTTCGTTGCCGATGGGCTGGATTGCCCGAGATGTGGTCCGGGCTCAGCGCGAAGCGAATGTAATTTCGGCCATAGAAAACGCCGGCGGGTTTGCCTCGTTTCAGTATCAAAGTGTGATCAATTTGAGCGAGACCCCGGAACCGCCGGGACCTTGGATTTTGCGAAGGTTGTTTGGGGATCATCTGCATGCGCACATCGATTACGTCTCGCTGTACGAACCGGAAGGTGTCGACTCCATCGTTCCGCAGCTCGTTCATTTTCATCGGCTTGAGTTTCTCTCGTTGCCGGAGGCACCGCTTAACGATCGATCGGTCGAAGTCATTTCTCAGCTACC